TACTCGAACTCTATCAATCCAAGGAGGGCTTTTAGAAAAGGGCCTGTCAGCAACGGTTGGTACAACTTCGTCCAGAATGGAGAGCAATTTTAAGCGAAGGAGGTTCCTTGTGGCATCGAGATCTAACTTCTGGGAGATACACCAGTCCATAACACGTGCAACCCATTGTAGGCGGAGTGAATCGGCGCGCCAGTAGTCCCGGCGAGGTATGCCCTGGTGGTGAAGGTAAGGTCATCTTGTCCATAGAAAGAAAAGCTCCCAATGAGCGCTTGACCGAAGTGGCTGGAGAATCTCTAAATCAGATACATCGGATGGTTGAGGCGTGAGTAAGAGTTCGGATATTTGCGGCTTTTGGCCCAATATTCTCCGAGTAGGTGATGTGCCATTTCGAGTTAGACCCACATGGCGAGCAGTTTCCAGTAGAACGACATCAAAGAATTCTGGGGCAAATCCACAGTGAAGTACATCCCAGTCGGCGTTGGGGCATTACACTCTCCCATTATTAAGCAATCTTTCCCCGGCCTTGCATTTCGATCGAGTCCAGGACTCGGGATCCGAAGGCCATTAGGATCCGTAGACCACGCAAACCCTGAGCGAGTTGTGTCCATCGTGGACACGACAAATGTATCTCAAGATCACCAACTGTATCACAAACAGCAGTGACAATATGAATCTTCACCTCGGACTACCGGTGGACTATGAGGTCAACTCCAGAGCTCGTAGCGAGGATCAGCCCGCGAAAACTAATAACCAGTAAGGCTTTTCAGCCTTTGCACATTGGCGGACATATATGAACATGTAACTAAATACAACGGTATATTTCCGGACTGGCTGGGTGCTGCGCCCGTAAGGGATCAGGTCAATGTTTACATTAATCCCATGTACTTGCATGTGCGTAGCAAACGTTGAGTATATGTTCCTTGTTAGCAAGTAAGACTGCATTGACCTTTAGGTGTACAACTGTTGGGGTGGTACGCGCCCACCTTGAAATTCTTCTGACTCCTTTAGACGATATTGAGCTCCTTGATATTTTTTGTTGTAACGTTTCCCAGAGCGTTATTTTGCATGTTTTCTTTGAAAACAGCATCTAACTGAACTCCAGTCTCACTATAAATTTTGGACTTTTCGGCTCGCTCAGTCGTCACATGTATTGGTGCACCCATGAAAAGAAATAGGAGCAGCGAAATTATATGGAACGTTAAAAGTATAAAAACACTTACCAGAAATGCAAATAAAAATGAAACACCTTTGTTACATGTCGTACTAGGTCGGCGTACTTTACTAGCTAAATACAAATTAATAAAAAATATAACCAAAATTTCTTGCGGATCGTCAAGTCCGCCAATGTTGGGATTTTGAACACGAGCTGTTGTTCATTAAGACAACCGGTTTCTGCGTTCTCTAAGTGTATGGGTTTCATTATGATAATTTGTTGCGAAAGGTGTTTATAAGGAGGTCAGTAGCTCCAAAAAGCTGAAAACTGAACTGCTGAATGCTTATTTGCAGTTGTATAAAATTGGAAAAATTAATATATAACAATACATATGTGGTTAAAAGAGAAAAGTAATTTAAAAATCGTTAATGGAAGGCCGCGCTATGTCTGCGTAAAAAGAAGGAAGTGCCATCATGTATGGTACATTTTCCAGGACTTAGGAGGATCCGTGTTTAGCATGTGATTTTTCTAAGTAGGGATTGGTCTGTAGTGGAGGTTACATATGGAATTGGAACCGTAAAATTGAGAAGGTGAATAGAATGGTTAATAATAAAGAGATAATAGACTGTGTGTAAAAACGGAATGTGCTGTCAAAAGCGACGCATGTAATTATATATATATATATATATACATGTAAGTAAACGTACTTAATTCTTATCTCCGTCAACATAACATTCAGGAAATCTCTTCAATCTCCATTTCACATGTATTGTGCATCAAGCCTGCAGTAGATGACATTATACAGAAACGTTAATTGACCTAAGCATTTCTTACATTTGATCCTACCCATATCCCATGCTAAATTCATTAAGCTACAGATGTTTACATATATAGGCATATAAGTATCATCTATGGATATATATATTGACACATATATACATAAATGGATATATATATGTGACACGTATATGGCTGTACATGTAAGCATCTATAGGTTAATGAAGTTAGCATGGGATATTGGTAATAGCATAAGTAAGAAATGCATACCTTAATTATTGTTTCTGTGTAAGTCTAGTTACTTCTGCATGTTTGATGCATAATACATGTGAAATGGGATATTGTAGTAGACGAAAAATACTAGGAAGGTGTCAACCCTTTAGTAGAAGGTAAAACGTTGGAGAGTCAACTCAGTCTAAGCACAGTTGAGTTCGAGTAGTAGGTTGCGCTATACCTGTGGCAAACACCGAGCACAATGGAAACAGACGTTCGATATTAATTCCGAATAAACTATCCGATATGCAAGCAGACTGGACGGCACCGTACGCAAGCAGAAGCAGCACAGCCAGAAATCAGCACGATGGAACGCGGGGCACGAACAAGTGTATTGTATTGCTTTCTGTTGCATTCCTTCTTCATTCGACGCTAACTTACATGTGTTTTTCCTTCCTGACTTCTTGCATTCCTACTAATTTAAGATTAAGTAAACTCGTCTCTGTCGCTTCTTCTGAGTGATATTCCTTCCCATTATCTGCACACCTCGTTCTCCTCTCCCATGTTCCCACGGATTGAGCATGTGCCTATTTTAGGACCCCAAACACTCCTGCTTCATCTTCAAGCTTTCATTCTTTACTGATCCGCGTTCTGCTCCATTCTCGTCGTTTTTCGCCACTTATGATATACGTGTATATGCGATATTTAAATAACAATTACATGTATAGGGGTACAATAGTTCAGGCATCGCCGCAATTGATTGACTGCATCCCAGATGCATTCCTCTCTTCTGTCTGTGTGGCTGTCTCTGTTCGTTTCCTTTTTTCTCCCGAGTCTGTCACAGGTACGGCGACACGCACCCAAAGAATTGTCCACCGTTGCGACAACAATACAAGGCGCACAGTTCCTTTGCCTGGACATGAGCGGAAAATTATCAACTCCTTTACAACTTACCAACCGGACAAATCATTCGATATCCTGCACTGATGCAATTCTTCCCCGGCTTGAACCACTGAGTTCAATTTACCTAACACTATCACTTCCACATATCTCTTGACTGGAGGACTCTCGACTTCGGAAGGCACATTCTCCTGCCGATACAAATCTTGAGCAATCGGCCATTCTAAGCTCTTCAATCCGCTTTGACCGCTCAAATGGCCGTTGTTTCCCATATTTCTAATCAATTTCACTACATACCCAGGGGATCTGAGATTCTTTCTTCGGAACCTTATCCCATCCTCCAACACTTCAACTTATTTCAACGTCTCTCCTTCGGTGACTTCACGTGGTTCTGCAGACGAGCAACACATCCTATCCAGAAAGAACGTTTATTTCCTGACTTACAGATCTGGCACAGGAGAGGACCCAGGCACGCATCAGTCAGCAGAAAAATTGGTCGTAACTTGACTGCGAATAAAGCAGCAAACAATCGTTCAATGATAAACATAGCCAGTTATAAATTGCCATTCAATGGATTGGCGGCAGTGTTTCAGGACGTGGTGGGTTTTCGCCTGGCAAGCATTCTCTCTATAAAAAGCCACAATTGTCCGTTTACGAACACTGCAACGTGGTGAATGTGATTCGCCCACGAAGAAATTCACAGCCCATAACTTCACTACATGGTGCCTATTAGACCTATCTTAACATCACTCTGTACGCATGCATCCTCATATCTCACCATTTGGATTCACTACAGTATTCTCATACATCTCTTAATATGCCTATTTATATCATCTCATAAATTAGTTCACTGCTCATTCTTCCCCCTCCATTTACAAACACTCACCCCCCAACCCCCAACTCGTATCACACTACATTTAACCTCCCCTTCCCCTCACACAATCCATTCCTCTCATAACACTACACATCCATCCACATAACCCAATACACACCTAATCCACCCATATATACATAACCCTTCACATCACCCCCCTAATTCTATCCCCCCACTCTAACAAACCTCTTCCACCCACAAACAAAGAAAACACAACCAAACAACATACCATCACATCAAAAACTAACCCAACCACCCACCAACATACAAAACCCACAACTACCAACAACACCCCACATACCAAACAACCCCTCCACACCTCCCAACACTCCCCAACAAAAACACCCCAACCACCCAACCACCACACCAACTTCACCAACCCCCAACCCCTCCACCCCCCACAACACCCCACCACCCATCAACCCAACAACCACCCCCCACAACACCACCAACCCAACCCCCACACCCACAAACACCAAACACAACCCACACCCCACACAACTTCCATAACCCCCAACCACCAACAACACACCCACCACCATACCCCCATATCAACCATACAAACCACAACAAAACCACCCTACCCAAATACATACCACCCCCACCCACAAACCCACACACAACATAAACCAACACACCCCCCCCCCACCCAACCAAAACACAAACACACCAACAACCCAACCACCAAACCCATACACCCCACCCCCCACCCCCCAACCCCCCCCCCCACCCCCACCCCCCCCCCCCCCCCCCCACCCCACACACCCACCCACACACACACCCACACCAACACCCAACACCACCCCCACACCACCACCCACACACCACACCAAAACAACCACACCAACCCCAACACCCACCACAACAACACCCCCACAACCACCACCCCCCCCACCCACCACCCACACCACACACCACCCCCACCCCACCCACCCCCACCCCCCCACCCACCACACCACCCACCCCCCCACCCCCCACCCCCCCCACCACCCCCCCCCCACCCCCCCCCCCACCCCCCCCCACCACACCCCCACCCCACCCCCACCCCCCCCCCCCCACACCCCACCCCCACCCACCCCCACCCAACCCCCCCCCCCACCACCCCCCCCCCCCCCCCCCCCCCCCCCCCCCCCCCCCCCCCCCCCCCCCCCCCCCCCCCCCCCCCCCCCCCCCCACACACCACCCCACCACCCCCACACACCCATCACTCACCCCCTTCCCAATCTACCAACCACTCCCCCATATCCTCATCTTTCATCCCCTACACACCACCACCCCACCACCTACACACCCCATAACTACCCCATCCCTATCCCACACCCCCCCCCCCATCTTACTTAACCAACCCCCTTCCCTACACGCGTCACCAATACTTCTCCAACTCCTATCCTATCCACGCACTCCCTTTCATCCCCCTCCCTCCCCACAAACACATACAGACCCACCCCCTCACCATCCACAACTATCACTTCTTTCCCCCCAACCCCACCCCACCACATCCCTCCCCGCATATCGCTCTCACACAATACTCCCTCTCTTGTGTGCCCCCCCCCCCCCCCTCTCCCCAACTTCACTCACCCCCAACCACACCACACAGACCTATCCTATACCTTGTTTGCCCCCCTACACTCCATCACTCTATGTCTAACCATACCAATACGTCCCTCTACCCCTGCTCCCCCCACCCACTCTCTCTCGCACTGTCTAAAATCGCCCGTTCAATACCCCTAACCATCCATCCCTCACACCCCCCCTACTAGAGTCATCCCATCCCCCTCCACTCTACTGACTCGCCCACACCAGTATCCTGTACGTCAATACCTCCCCCACAATCCCTCTACCCAGCCTCATCCGTGCAAGAGACCATCAAGTCCCCCACCCCTCCCACCCACACAACCACCAGCATGCGCCTATATACCCCAAACTATCCCTCCCAGTCATGTGTCACTGACTAGTCTCTCGTAAAGTGAATCCTCCCATTGCCAACTTAGACCCCATCAAGCTCGCAAAACCACCCTCGCGACCATCCCACACTCGTAACCCCAACCTCAAACGCCATATGTCAATGTATGTGCTGCTAATAACCCTCCGTCCCTCCACTCCCATCCCTGAATCCCTAGTGCACCCTCATTTTACTCACCCCCTTACGTCACCATCCGCCCTACTCACTCAATTACTCCCCGATAACCCTACTGTCACCCATCTCCCACAACCTCCCACCTACTCCGATCTCTCCCGACATACAATTTCGACCATAGCTATTATCCTCACCCCCCATACCACCGTTACCCCCCCCCCCCTACAATCCTCCACCCCAACCCCATAACCCAAAACCAACCACCCCCTCATCATGTCCTAATTCCCCCTCCATGATCTACTAATATTACACCACGCTCCGCCATCACACTCGCACTCGTAGCAGTCCCCAACGTCATATGAAATACATACTCATTGATCTGCATCTCTATCCCTCATCTCTACTACAACGACTCATTCTTTATCTGTGAAAGATACGCCAGAATGACTCTAAGTGCAGCTCACACCGTTATCTATCTCATACTTCTCGTCATTTATTCCTCACGTGCCACGATCCGTGTC